CTCAGCATCTGCCTTCAACGCCCGCCCCGGCGGCAGACCGGGAAGGCACGGGGGGTCCCCGGAGGAGAAGCGTCCCGGTCCCGCTCCGGGCAGAGGTTTCCTCGGCAAACAGCTGAGGAACAGCAAATATTTTTTTTTTTCCTTTCTTCCCTAAATAACGATGTGGACAAATAAGTTTTATTTAAGAGCATACTGCTCTGGACAAATATTTGGACATGTGGACAGAAAGACAAATAAACATAAACACAGCATGCTTCATAATTAGTGCAGGTTAGTGTGTTACATAGTCTGCCCGTGCAAGACTCTGGAGAGACACAGTTACTCCACACAAGGAGCAAAGACAAACATTTCCACGGGTAGCAATATAGTCTTTGGGATGTGACTTCCTAATTTAGGTCCTCTTTAAAACCAGTTTGTTGAATGTGTGCATTAACACCAGGAGCACCCAGCTGTTCTGTTCCTAGCCTGACACCTGGCTAAACCCTTAGGCCACACAGTCCCACTAACTGGTTAGATCAGGTTGTTAGTGAGTGCCTCTTTGGGCTGTGCTCTAACCTTGTATTGCCTGTCAGCTCTGCTGAAAAGCATATCCTGAACAGCTATGAAGGAAATACATGCTCAGCATCTGCTAAGGGCTTAATTATTTCTTGTTAATTGGAGATAGGCTCATTTCATTTGTTAGACCTGCGTGTTGAAAGACTGTTTCCTACTTTGAGAACTCACAAGCTAGAGATCAGAAAAGTGCTAATTGGGGTATGAATAAAATAATCACTGGGCTGTACTGCAGTCAGTAAGAACCACTACTGAGAGCTATTGCCTTGATCTTATTTGTTTGAAATGAAAGATTAGTAGTGGTAAACAGAGAGTATCACTAGTGTGGTGTAGCATTTGGTCCTTATAGAAAGGAACTCATCCCTCTAAGGTGGGAGGGGAGCAGAGTGCACACCCAAGCACAAAAGGCTGGCTACTGTTGTTCATTTAACAGCTAGCCAGGCAATACTGTCACTTTGAAAGTAGCTGTTGTGACCGAGAGAGTGCGTGTCAACTTAGTCTTGACTAAGTTTCCTTTTCAGAAACTTAACCTCCCTCTGCCAGGCCACGCTAGCTCTCCCTGATGCTGAGCAAGATTGCTGGTAATGGTCATGGTACTACCTGCTTTACTTCCTCAAAGAGGAAGTTCTGAGCTTCATCACTCTGTTCCAGTTTGCTGATATCTCCTCCCCAAGACGGAAGCCAATAGCCCTCTGCTTTCCAGCCTCAGGGAGCCCAGGATTTTCACAACTTTTTCACTCAGCAAAACAGACAGCTGAGCCATGTAGATCAAAGAGGATGGCAGCAGTTGAATCCTCAGGATATTAGAGATCTGGAGTAACTGGCAGACAAAGTTCCAGGTGAGAGAAGAAACCATGGTACACAATAGCTGGTGAAGAAAAGGAGGAAAAGAATTGTCACTGCAATGATGTTCTCAGAAAAGGTTCTATTTTCAGAAGGATACAAGTGATGTGAGACCAGGAGCACGGTTCTCTTCCCTCATCCACCCACCCAACTAACAAGCCAACCCCAGTTCTTGAAACTGCTCTGTTCACATCAATATTTATATACGTGAAGAGCTCTAGGAGAATCAACAGTTACCCTAAACAAGTCTAAGCTTATTGTTAGCATCATTTCTCTAGTCTTTGAGCAACAATGGAAAAAATCTTATTACACTGACTTGGTACTGCTTTGGTGATGTTAACAGGGTCAAAAACATTTTGACTTGATATTAGTGATTCCATGCTAAAATTGGGCTTCAGGGTGTGCTAGTCAAACAACTACAGCGATTTAAGATGATACCAGTCCTTAGTTAATATAGGCTAATAAAGGTCACTGCTCCAGCAAAGCTGGTGGAATTAAGTGTGGGTGAGTACCTCAGTTGCTGCAATTCAAAAATCCCAGCAATGTAAATGAGTAGACAGAACTGAATAGTGACAGTGGAGACACAGACCAGCTTTCCCTGCTGAGCCCCTTCTGCAAAGGGACATGCAGTCAAGGCACAGGGGAAGAGAATATACACAGGCACTAAGCTCTTCCACGGCTTCAAATACATCTTTTGGGATTTGTATAAAGCTTAAGAAGATTGGGACTGCCGTGTTTGCAAACAGACTTCTGGCTTCAGCTCTTATGAAGTGAAATACATCTAATTTTCAGACACATACTCCACTGTAAGAAATCTGAAGCAGCTTTTAAAAATACATAATATCAGCCATACATACCAGGAGAGTTTCTATAGAACATTGAGCTAAGCCTCTTATCTTAGAGGGATAGGTACTGGTTTTCACTGTTCCAAATTCAATTCTCAAGGACTTTTAAAATATGTATACATCTCTTTAAATATATATATACACACATATTTATACAATACACAAATATGACAGTTGTTCTGTACTATTTATGTTATCGTTACCTTGTCTACAGTAAGGGTTATTCCAAACAGGGAAGACAGGAAAAAAAGCCTTGTTAGTCATTAACCAAGCAGAAACCAATGTTGCACCCTTCTCTTACCCAAGAGGCTGGGGAACCAGGCAGAGGTGGAAAAAAAAAAAAATAAAAAAAATCAGAGCTGAGGCACAAAAGCAATAGATATGCAGAGAGTTACTCACCATCATGATGTTACAGAGATCACCCTTCTCAGCATGGGAAGGTCTTATCTTCTGGCTCTCAGACCAGTTGTCTGAAATTGCAGCAAGAAGACTTCGGGTTTGACTTTTTGGGTTTGAACTCAAATAAGCAGGTTTGGGCCTCAGCTTTCCTAGAGATCCACTGGATTGGGTCTCCTCTTGTGATTCTGTACTAGATATATCATTCTGATTTTCTTCCTCTGTTGACTCATCCTCAAATTTAGAGTCAGAATCAGGCTCATCAGAAAATTGTTTCTTTATTTCTTCTGCACTGGGCACCTGTACTACAAATAAGTTTTAAAACAACATGTAAATTATCTATAACATGACTTTTTCCTCCCTAGCTGTAAACCTTACATGTTCAAGCTAGGCAAGGCTCTTCTGAATCTTTTTCAATTGAAATAAAGGATTCTCAAGCCCAATTTATTGTAGAGGCAATAAAAGGCCTATACAAGTGTTTGATTTTATCCAATTAGCTCTTAATCAGCAACTATATTAAAGGAGGAGCTGAAAGATATGCTGCTTTTTACTTGTACCTGCTGTAAAATAGCATAAAATAAGTAGGTATGACTGAATTACTCAGGAAAATATTAAACTAAACACTTCTATTATCTTAAGAGTGATTGAGAAATACTCTAATGCTCTAGTACTGCAAACACACTAGTATGAAAAAAATTAGTAATATGTGTAATCATATTTATTAAAATGGAATTTAGAGCATTTGTGTAAATCCTTGAAGGCCTGGTGCTAACAACAGTCACCTCAGAGCTAGAAATTGTGAAGGTAAATGCAGTACATAAAACTTGAAAATACCATTCAAGGCATCAAGATATTCCAGAGTTGCTCTGTCCAGGCAGAAAGCTGATCCTCCACCTGAGCGTAAGTATGTGGCACAGCTACCCTTTACCTATGCAAAATAGATTATTTTATTCCATTCTTCAGGTATCAGCCATAAGCCATGCCTGTGGTGCTCAGGGTACCTTGTACCATCGTCACAACCTCTTACAACCCGCGGTTTTAATTGCTATGACCAATTACTCTCAAGAGTGTGTTTGTGTGGAGGGAAGGTACTTTGCTGCTGCTGCAGTGAGCAGAGGCTGTTATGAGTATCAGTTGTGTGCTAAGCCTGCACAACGGGAGCTGGAAGTCACAAATGCAGCATGCACACACATGCAGGATGGCGAAGGAGGGAGGAGCACAAGCCCCTGCTGCAGTGAGTACCTCTCGTTCCTCTGCTGTCTGTGGGTGCAAAGGAATTGTCTCGATGTCGCTGCTCCTGTGGGATCTATTATAGAGCTGGATACCACATTATTAGATAAGAACAGAGGGCACCAAATAGAAGTAAAAGCTTGCTGAAGTCAAATCTTGTTCTTGTTTTCCTTCCTACAGCTGTTCTGCGAAGGCAGAATCGCTGCTTTTGAACTCACGATCGATTCCTCAGCTGGGATTGCTTTTGCTCCAGGATTAGAGCAAACTAGCAAGGCTTTATCCTCATGAGTGCATCAACAAGCCCATTATTAGCCTAAAGCAAAGCTTGTGTTATTAGTTACTGACGTGTTAGAAATAAGAATCACTGGTGGATCAGAAAGATGCAAAATACACAAATAAATGAAAATGCATGTCCTGCTGCCTTCAAATATTTTCTATCAGCCTCAGCACTGATAAAAGAATCCCTTAACAGTTCCTCTGGTAACACCACCACACACACACCCCACCCACCCCCTCCCCCCCCCAAAAAAAAAAAGTGTAGGAGCACTATAATGCCAGAGTTTGAAAATATACAAAATCAGAGGGTTAGGTTTGCTTTCTGGGGGATTTTTTAATAAAAATTTACAAAAATTACTTGTCCCTTGCCTTAAACTAAATTACCTCTGAGAAAAAGGGAGAGGGCAAGGCAAACCAGCTGGCAGCATCCTGCCTTCTAAGTATTTTTAACAGAAAAGCATAATAATTTGAGTTTGATTTTTCTATATGCTATCAACAGTACTAAAAAACCCTTTAGTTTCCCTCTGTGACAAGTGGCATTAGCCTAAAATAGCTAGCAGAGTGCTTTAAAGATCCAGCTAATAGATAAAGCCTTTATGCAGGAGCATTTTATCTGCTCAACTGCAGAACTTACCTTCATTAAGTAGAAGCTGTAGCCAGATAATCATTATGATCAACAGCATTACAAATGGCAAACAAAGCCAGAAAAAAAGAAGAGAAAAGGTCAGATCGTTCACCAAAGGAACCAGAGGATACTTCATGGCTTGCTTCAGGTTACGCTAAGTTTAGCACAGCCTGCCTGCTCCGCTTTACTAACTACCTTTTAATAACTCTCATTGCATCACTGTGTTAATCTCAAGACCGCTGCTATACTCAGCACGGTCAGCGAAAGGGACAGCCCCATGCTATGCAGGGAGGGAGAAATAAGGGTGAAACATGGGATAAAAAGAACTGAGAAAACATTTGATTTGATTGTCCTTCCTTCAGTTGGTGTTTACAGGATAAATACAAACTAGGAAGCTTTCAAGGCTTATGTTAAAACAATAGTTAAAGGTATTGTAAAGTTTGTACTTGCAGATACGGGGGAGATAACCCAGTGCTTCAGCCACTTTGAAGCTGGGGAGACAAGGTTACTTCTGAGAAATCAATAAAACAATTACCCTGCAGAGATGTGTAGAGGATGACTAGCTAAAAATTACTTTTCCCAGGCTTTCTTATTTGACATGGAGCACGAATTTGTCCCATACGAACATGGACTCTATCTCTAACCTACTATGTTTCTATCTATTAGTTAATCCATTAGGAAAATAAACCTTTGTAGTTTCATTGCTGTTCTATCTCCCCTCCAAGAAAGGCAAGCCAGCATGTTTCATAGGGTGTATGTCTGTAAATGTATTGCTTAATAGTAAAGGAGTTCAGTGGTGATCAAAGTAGGAACAGATAGGTGACTTTGACTTGATATTCATCATGCTGTGTGTTTCTCCTTCAATAAAATAAAACCATTACCTATTGCTTACCTCACAGGGGCTTGTTTGGCTAAATTAATTGTTTGTGTAGCTCTCAGCAAGCCTTAGACAAGAGCAGCTATGTAAGCGCACATTAGGAATGATTGCATGCATTTAACGTTCTCGCTTGCGTGCATGTGTTTGTTTTTATGGAGTAACAGCCCCTCGAAACGAGCCTTTTAATCCCAAGATCTAAATGAACTTTGCAAATTCTTATTAATTCACGTTAATAACAACCCTGTGTGATAAAAGCAAGCTATTATCCCTACTTTGTGCAGTGGGTAAACAAGTGAGAAAAGCCATTAATGATCTCAGCTTCGAGGACGCTAAATATTTGCCATCCCCAGGTTGGGGCATTTCTGAAAATCAGGGTGATGGTGGTTTGTCTGCAACCGCGGTGACAGGAGTGACGCAAAGGAGGCGAATCCAGCGGTTGTGAAGTTTTACCGAAGCGTCTCTCCGGGCCCTGTCACAGGGACCGCTCTGGCACAGGCCGGGGACACGGGTGTTCACTTCCACGCAGGTGCCAGACGCTGGGGAGGTTCAAGCTCCAGGTTTAACTCGTTGTGGCAGAGGGCGCGGGGGGTCCCTGCGTGACGGGGGAGCGGGGGGGACACAGACCCCC